GTTATCAGCACATAATCTTTGAATATAAATTAAATTATACTTTAATTGAGGCACATGATAAACAGAGTTTAATGTGAGGGGACGACCAGATGAAGGTAAAGCAACATCACCAACATGTTGTATGGGTAAATGGACACCATTAGCAACACTTACAGAATTATAGCCATTATAAATGGATTTATTAATTAAATTACCTTCAGATGCAGTCATATGAGCAGAAGCTCCCGAGTCAGGATACCATAAAGCCAAATTAGATTCACCAGACGTAGTCAACAGGGCAGGATTGGTAGGATGGGCAAAACGAGATGGACAAGCAATAGCGGAATGACCTGCAGAGAAACAAATTTGACAGACAATAGGACGGGGAACCGCCCCAAGAATACCCCCATCTGAGGAAGAGACTGCAGAGCCAAAGTTAGAAGCACAAACAAGTAAAGCATTAATATTTAAATGTGACACAATGGAATTACAAAAAACAGTACCCATATGTGGCCCAGCTGAGGAACCGCCCCCTGCCGCAGAACCACTCCCGGCAGCTGCAACCATCGGCGGCGGACCGTACTGAGGATACCAAATCACCTGCTGACCATAGGGCGGTGGTTGCTGTCCACGTCCGAGTCCACGAGCTCAATGACCTCTGCCGCCTCGTGCCCGACCGCCACGCTGGCGCTGATTATAGCCATGAGGACGCTGCTGCTGGTGGCCACCCACAAACTGGGCACCGAAAGCTTGATGGGCTGGGGGGTTCTCCTGGGACCGAAGGTAGATGACCCGCTGCTCTTGTTCAAGGAGATGATTTCGGAGTGCCTCAAATGGAAAATTGTGAGGAAAGAGAGACACCGTTGTGAACAAGGACTCATACTCAGGGCCAAGCCCCACAATAGTGGTTTTGAGCAGGTCGCGTGGAGAGACGGGGCAATTAATAGTAGCAAGGTCATCAGCCAAAGTTTTGATTTCGCGGAGATAAGGATCCATGGATTGTCCAGGTTTCTTTTTAATTTGTGAGAATAAACGCTGTAATTCCATTGACCGGGCCAAACTAGCAGACATGAATCAAGATTCTAAACGTTCTCAAATTTCAAAAGAATGTTTGAGATCACGAACATCAATAAGAATATCCCGAGAAAGGGTTGCAAATAACCAAGACCTGATGGTTTGATCAATTCGCAACCAGACAGAGTATTCAGGATTGGGAGACTTGTCGGTTTAGAATATCAATGGAATAAGCGGAAGGTACCTGAAGAGAGCCATCGACCATGCCCGAAGTCCTTGGGAGACAAGAAAAGACTCAAACTGAGTCCGCCACGTGGTATAATCTTCCACAGCAAGGAGTTTTGTAGTAACAATATTTGTGACATTAGTAGCCACATGAGAGATAGTCTGAGTGAGGTCAAATAGAAGTGAGGCACCCGTAGGTGGTGCTGCTGACCGAAGAGGTTGAGCCATGGTAGAGACTCCTGCCGAACCAACAAGTGTAGGGCCGGAGAAGGAGGTTGTCGAGAAGGGAGGTGGTTCCAACTTCCAAGGGGACGGTCTGCACTGTCGAGGGAGGCTGCCAAGGGAAAGTCGGTGGCATATGCTGGAATAGTGAGTATGGTATACTGCGACTTGGTGAGATGTAGTGGGAGGGGAAGGTGACGCCGGACTCGGGTGGAGTGTGAGCCGGCAGTACAGCAGCAGGGGAAGACGAGGTGTGAACGCCAGCCCTGGCGGAAGAAACCACCGAAGAAGATACGGCGGCGGTGGTGGGAGCCGAAGAACTCATGGCGTCGGTTTAGGGTAGCCGAGGGAGAGAAGAGAGAAAAAAATTTAGGGTTTATTCTGTGCTCTTGATACCATGTGAAATAATGGAACATGATATTCTCTAGGAGTCCTGGCAGATATATTTATAATAAAGAAGAGTTTAATGTATAGTACAATACTGATACTATAATAATTCTATTAGTACTAACTGTACTATACAGAAATAATATAATTTGGAAGAATAATGGCTTACTCTATAGAACAGTGTTTAGGAAATTACAGAATTAAACCACTACAATACATTATTAACCCTCTCAATCTGTGTAGGGGATCCAACGCGCAAATTGGAATGTAAAAAATCAAAACATTCTCTAAATCTCCATGGACAACTCGTTCTCGGATAAAGTGATAGTCAATTTTGATGTGTTTGTTGCGGTCATGCTGAATGAGATTAACAACCAAATAGGATGCAAATTAAAGACATTGTCACAATGTGCGTAGTTGAACAGGAGTCGAAATCAAGATTCCCGTATTCGCGAGAAGTGATCAAACAAACATGGTGTCCTGAACAATGTAAACTATGTCTCTATATTCAGCTTTGGTGGAGGCCTTTGAAACCATTGGTTGCTTCTTGGACTGTCATGAAATAAGATTAGTGCCAAAGGCGTCCATAGCTAGATGGGAGGTACTTAGGCAAATGCCTAGGGCACCATCATTATGAAGGGCACCAACCATAAGAAACCTATTATAATTATGTATAATATTAAAATTTCCATAAATAATATGTAATACCTATATATAGTCGTTATTATCTAGTTAAATTGAGAAACAATTTCGAACATATAACAAAAATAAAAGTAGTAAACAAAAATGTGAATTTGTTAACTTTAGGCAGCGCAATTGTATTCAAGCGTTACATTACATTGACTATAAAATTTACTCATAGCAACTTATAGTCAGATTTTTCTCCATATAACTTTTATTACTAATATTTTAGATTTTTTTTAAGCATGTGTCTCACACAATAGTCTTTGATACTCTCCAATCTTAAACATACCCTATTAAAAATTACTGAAGTAATAATAATTACCTTTACACATTTCCAATATCTAAATAAAAGTTATAATCTTTACATGACCAATCTGTAATCAGTCAATTATGTCATCTTAATTCTTAGTTGATTGATTGGTACGAAGTATTTACCAAGACTGAAGATAATCCGCAATAGATAATCCAATCTACCAATTTTTTTCCAGAAGTGCGTCTTTAAATTTTGACCGTTAATACTGAGGTCAAAAGAAAAATACTCCGTAATTTTTTCTCTAAGGTATTTACCTAAATAGGAGTAAACAAATCTTTAATTGCTAAAATAGGATTAAAGTTTAAAATTTTCCCAAATAAGAGTTAATATTTGTATCTGTACAGATATACCCTCAAGCTAGCTTACTGCAGCCAACAAACACCATGCCGCCCCCGGTCTCCGGTAGCCGTCGGCAACCGCAACCACTGTCGAACTGGTTGCCGGTGCAGATCTGGTCACTGCCGCTGCGGATCCGGCCGTTGGTGACGTAGATTCTTCCGTCGCCGCCATAGATCTGAGCATATCTGGCCTCCCCTGGCTGCCGGCCTTGCAGATTTGGCCGCCGCCATATTAGATCTGACCTCCGCCGTTAGAGATCTAACCTCCGCCGATGTAGATCTGACAGATCTCGTTGCTTATGCCAACATTTTTATCGAAATGCCATACATTAATCCAGAATGCCATCCAAATGGCATTTTCACAACAAAATATGGAATTTTTGAAGTGTAAGAATGCCATTTTGATGACATTTTCGGATTAGCTTTGGAATTTGTTAACAACCAAATGACACACAGATTTCTGAGCTCTATTCCGGTATTCCCGCGACAAAAAGATGAACCAAGAACCTGTTCTGTCAGACTTTGACAGTCATCCTGTGTGCAACACCTCACCGCCGTTCATGGAATTTTCCGATTGCTTTCCATTCATCATCCCATCGTTGTCCATGACTTTGTCGTCCGTTGCCTGGGAGTCGTTGAACACTTACCTGCGAAGCAAAAAGAAAACGAAGAGAAAAAGAATAGGGGTCTTGGAACTTGAGTGGAGCAGACAAATAATTAAGGGTAAAATAGGAATAATACGGAAATGTGGTCCTATTTAAGAACAAGAACAAAAGCACTCCCATGTGAGCATATCCGGACTTTTTTAGTCCCATTTACAACCAATTTTTCTTTTTTCTCTCGTGCGGTATGATTACACAAATTCATTTTCATGGTAAGAACACTTTTAGCAAAAGTTATTGCTTTATACTTCGTATAAGATTTAACTTTACATTGAATGAAGATTTAAAATACTAAATTTCAATTTACGTTCACAAAATATAAATTCAATTTAGTTTGAATATTTAATTGCTTAATATAATTTTTAAGCAATTACTCTGTAAATGATATCTTTTATCTTACAATTTTCACTAATATGAATATTTAATTTAATTTTTGCCTAGGGTTCAGAAGTTCCACGAGACGACCCTGATTAGTGCCTAGAAAAACTGCATACCCAGTGATGGAGAAGGAATTATTGGAACAACCAGCCCAATCAGCATCTGAACTATTGATCAAAGATCTAAAATAACATGCATCGCCCATTTTATAAATAATAAGGTTTTTTACCAAGAACATTAAGTGATTCGTTAAAAAATAACTGAATTGGCATGAATTGTGCACGAATTTTGCACGGATTTGGCCCGAATATTTGGCAGAGATTCGCTAAAATCCGTGCCAACGTTGTTTTGTCAAGTGCTATTTGGCACAGAGTCATGCCAAATAGGTGTTATGATTCATGCCGAAACCGATCAATTCGTGTCAATTTCATATCAATACTGTTGTTTTAAATAATTATGTGCTAATAAATACTACCTCTGTCTCAAAAAACTTAGCCATTTCAAAAAATTTGAATCATGATTTTGATTAGTATAATAATATTAAAGTTATAAATTTTATACTTTGATGAAAGTTGTTTTACCAAAGAACATTTTCATATAATTTTCATATTATAAATAATTTCCAATAAAAAGACAATTGGTAGTACGTATTTATAATTGGTTAAACTTGACAATTATTAGTCAACAAAAGTCAATAAGACAATGTTTTATGGGAGTATGATATTTTAGTTTTTACGTAGTAGTTTTTATTGATATGATCACATTCATTGCAGCTCCTCCATTAAAAAAGAACAGGTACAATTTCATTTCATTTTGATTCAACTCAAAATATAATGAAAAAGATTTGAGTTGAGGATTGGAAAAAGAAACATCAAGATTCTATAATGCTTGCTTCTGCCAAGAGTGAAATCTAGGCCGGACAATCAAATCTAACTTAACGATCTAATTAAGAGGCGGACGACCACATAAATTATGGGGCATCAAAGACATGATATCAAATCCAGGCGACGTCCGGGTGGCAGCATCAACAGAAGCACTCTCATCTACGTCGTAGACGGCCCGACTGCGGCATATAGGGCACGTCCCATTCTGCCTCAGCCACGCCACAATGCAGTCTTTGTGGAATGAATGTGAACATGTCTGAACCAGACGGATTATCGCTTCACCTTCCTCGTATTCCGACAAACACACCGCACATGCCTTCTCGGCGTCAGCGCCGCCTTCCCACGTTTCGGACTTCAGCTTGCGAATATCATCTTCCGACAATCCTACGGGACCATCCTCATCCTCGTCCTCCTCCTCGACACTATCATCGTCGTCGTTGTCGTCGTCGTGAGGGTGAATCATTACATATTCGACTGAGATGGTACCACCCCATATTTGGACGTGCCGAGCTTCATCTCTACTCATGACTCTCTCAGCCAACCGGCGAATAAATCGCTGCAGGTGATCGACGTTCGGGTCTAATCCAAAGCGATCCGAAAGCACATCGGAGAAGAAGACTATCACATTTTCGGTGGAAACGAGAACGTGGCGAGGATTGAATTCTGCGGTAGCATTTTCGTCGTACATGAAGGTGGTGGTGGTACTAGAGGAACCTTCTGACGCCAGCGGCGGCGGAGCCGCTCTTTTGTGAATGATTTTGAAGCGCAAGATTCCGTGGCAGCTGCTTGGCTGGGCAGGATTAATGCTAATTGGGCTCTCCATCATGATATTAGATGTCAAGAACGACTAAAAACTCAGTAGAAGAAAATGAAACGTGAACATTGTGTCTACATCTGCTCTCGTTTATATAGAGTCATGCATGTAAATCGGCCTAAACCCAGCTAATCAACTAGTAATCATTAGCTGAGGCCTGAGCTGTTAATCATCATTGTTGATTCACGATGTTTATCATTTGCACCAGACGAACTTCAACTAAAATGTGAAGATCCAACTTTAATAACACAAAAAAACGTTTTTATGGCAAGTCGCCTTGTTATTTTGATAATTCATATTGTTAGGTATCATTACAAAAGAATTACGGAATTTGCACATGTTTGACACGGATCGATCAACAATTTCGTACCAAGTGGCCAGTACATTCTCTTTAATTTTTGGAATAAATTTGACATATCCCTGTTGAATTCTCTATGAGTATTAGCAAATCCTCATTGATGGAAAGATTAAATCTACAATCGGTTGTACGGTGAGAACCGTACACGCGGTGGCAGTTTGATCACGTGGTGAGAACTAGAAAACAAACAACAAGTGGAGTTTGACGGGATGACTGAAGATGACATAATACAACATGTTGGTTGTGTGTTTAAGCAGAAAATAATTATTCTACTAACAAACTATTTGTGAGATAGGGAATCATACAAGATAATATTCAACGAACGTATGATCAACAGATGAATCAATATTAATCAATTTTCGAATGAAAAACAAGAATGAGTATACTTAGTGAGCTAAAAGATCATACATCCTTCCTTCTACCGCTAGTCTATTTAAAATAAAAGTTTTAGCCTTATCCCCCACGTGGATGAACTGCCCGGTGAAATGATAGCCTTTCCTACTAAAGTGGGAATCGTTCCTCCATTTTCTCCTCAACTTCTTAGGCCTCCTTATCCATTCCGTCACCTTATTTGATTAAGCCGGACTCTGTAAAACTCTTAGGGCTATGTGGGCCGATCCGTTCAACAAATCCAAACCCAACAATGGGCCGATTCGCTTGACAAATCCGGGCCCAACAATTGCCCCTAAAATTCGAAGTAGTAAACGTTGCTAACTCAATCCAATAGGTCGGTTACTTCTTTGATTTTTAAACGTTTTGATGCCACCTCGAAATAGTCAAAACCGTCAGTCTCCTTCATCGAGCATCCAACCTTTTGTCAGACTAGCCCCTTTTCAGTCATAACCCTTCTTCTGTGAAAATAACTTTCGTCTAGTTCTTGCAGAAATTCATTGTGAGAATCCATGACGTCTCAACAGTTTATCCCTCAACACATCCTGGATCCGAAAAATGCAAAACAGGCCAAACTCTCTGAAAGTCATATCGACGCTATCAAGAATGGTTCCGGATTTCCAGCGCATGCATCCATCCGGTTTCCGGCCGCCAACGAATGGGTTGATTGGCATTGCGATGGTTGGGTAAACTTCTTCATGTACCCCTTCAAGATTGGTATGAAGTTCCCTTTTTCTTCCTTAGCTAGAGATTTCTTGGCCTTTGTCAAAGTTTCCCCTTCCCAAATAATGCCACAAGTATGGAGGGTTCTGCGTGGTTTGGAAGTATTGAGTGAAAAACACAGCATCCCCTTTACCTTCGAAGATCTGGGCTTCACCTATGATCTTCGTTCTTCTGGAGCTGGACGGTTCACCCTGGCTGTCAAAGATGCTCGCGAAGCGCTGATATTGAGGGCAGACAAAGCTAATGATCGCGGCTGGATGAGTCAGTTCTTCTTTGTACAGAAAGATTCCCTAGGTTCTGAGGGTGCGTTTCTTGAAGAGAGTTTACACAAAGGTATCTTGACACTTTCTTGCTTTACATATGAATTTCAAATGAATTTCAAAGAGAGTTTACATATGACTGGTCTGTAATATGTCAAAATGCATTATCGTTTCCATTGTTGGTTTTTGTAGATAGAAAGACTATCCCACTGAGCTATGGTCCGAACTCTGAAGGAAGGACTGCCAGAATTTTATCTATAACCACCGCCAAGCGGACCTTTGGGAATCTAGTGGCTGATAACGAAGGTATGTCTCCCACCCCTGACCATTCTCGGTCCGTTGGATTAAGGCGTTCTCGCCGTAATATTCAGAATGTCCCTAACGATGTCCAAGGCTCGCGTGCGGTCTCCGTAGACGATTCAGACCATGAATCAGAAGCTTCAAGGGGTGGAGGCCAAAATGCAAGTGCCTTTGTTCCTCTTCAAATGGTGTTTCCAGTTGGTCAGGACTCATGTTCTCTTCCGGCGAAACGTTCTGCTCAACATGCTGGTACTTGTTCCTGTTATTTCAATTATACGTCAAATGCTGCTTTGTCTAGAATGTTAATATATGTACATATTTTCTCTTATCACAGCTGTTTCCTCGTCTAGCACGCGACTGATGCCTTCTGATTATGACCTCCTTAACATGATTTCACGAAAAAAGAAAGTTCCATCTAAGCTGGCCTCTGGCTGTTCCAAAGCTCCACATTGCCCGAATATTGAGATGAAAGCTGCTCCTCCTCTTCCAGTGAATGCCGCCAATCCTGACTCTGTTGTGAAAATGAACGCCTCTTTTTCTCGTGACTTTTGCTGTTTGAAGGACGCTCTTATGATGGGAAGTGAAATGCCTCAAGTTCTGCTTCCCTCCCCGTCTGCTGCATTTTCGGATGTCTCTTCAGTTGGCCTGGCGTTGGCTTCATCGGCCTACACTTTCCAGGTACCTTATCGCTTTATAAATGCTTAGTATTTGTCTAAATTTAAACTTCCTTTTAACGAGAATTCTTTCAAATAGGCAGAGTGTTCAAGCTAGCCTTGTTGCTGCAGAAAGATTGGTTTTGTTGGAAAAGGCTGTGGATGAATTAAAAGGAAAGGAGAAAAGTTCTCAAGCTCGTGCGGACGTTGATGCTCGAATGATCCAATGCCTTCGTGGTGACAACTCGACTTTAACAAATCAAATTTCGACCCTAAAAACCTGTATCAAGTTGTTGGAGGCGTATGGGAGGAAAAAGAAACAAGAAGTTACTGACGCGGCCTGTTTTTACGCTTGGAAGACCAGGGGTGAACTGATGGCTTCATTCCTCGCAGGTGAGATGTCAAGCTGGACTGCGGAACAGGATGTTGCTACCTGGTTAAAGCTTCAAGATGAGATGGATCCCCCGATTGGAAGGGATGGTTTTGATGTAGGCCAGTCTGATAATGAAGCTGAGTCCAGACGCTCCTGAGATAACTAAATGCGCTCTTTCCTCTCTACTTTCTTGACTTTAAACACTTTTTGCTTTCAAAACTTACTCTGTTATTACTGCCCTTGCATTATGGTTTCCTGTTAAGAAATTTAATGTTTCCCTGCGAATTCATGGATCTTGTGCTCGGTGGTTTATCCAAGCCAAGTCCATGTTGTTTTGCGATTCCGTCGCTACTCCTTTTTATTACCTGAATCCTGTTTTTGTTAATGCGTGTGTTGTCGTATATGTCGCTTATGTGTGCAACATGCCATGTGTGTGTAGAGTCATATATGTGTTTATGTTTGTGTTTTGGCCAAAACTTATTCAGTTTCATGGAACTTCATTCATGGTTTTTCCATAATGAGCCACATGTCCCCTGTACATTGATGTTTTGTCATGAGCAGATTTAGATGTTCTACCTGTCGTTCTGGCGCCTGTGTCACCTGGTATTCAGGTCTTAACCTGTCATAATCCTGCGATGATACCGTACCGTTGGGGTCGGCCGTTGGCTTGGGGCCAACGGCCCTCTGATGGTCAAGTTAGTAATTGATGAATTGTATTTACTGCATCCAAGATTATGTGAAACGTAACTAATTACCTGTGACATTGCCGTTTTTGTGTCTCCCTGTACCTACAATTATTGTTAGGGTCGGTCATTGGCCTTAAGCCAACGGCCCTCCGATGGTCAAGTTAGTTACTTTATTTAGCAACAGGAATAGATATGCAGGAAAGAAGAGAACTTATATTAAAAATGAAAATGTTTTAAATGTACCGCATTTCAACTTCGAGGGATTCGATTACCATCGAGTGATTCCAGACGGTATGCCCCTTGACCAACAATGTCAATGATTTTGTAAGGTCCTTCCCAATTTGGACTAAACTTTCCAGCCGCTTCGTTGCCAAATGCTCTTCTCAAGACCCAGTCTCCCCTCTTGAATACTTTTACTCGGACGTTTTTGTTATAGCTTTTCGCAACCATTTGTTGATATGTCTGTAAGCGAATCTTGGCTCATTCACGGATCTCGTCAATGGTGTCCAAGTCATGTGTCAACTCCACATTGTTCAATTCCTCAGTCATGAGTCCATATCTTGAAGAAGGTACTTCAATTTCAACAGGAATTACTGCTTCGCAGCCATACACAAGAGAGAATGGGGTCTGCCCGGTTGCATTTTTTGGAGTTGTCTTGTCTGCCAATAGTATTAAAGGCAACTCGTCGGCCCACCTGCCTTGCGCCTTTTAAAGCCTTTTCTTTAAGTTGTTAATGAGGATTTTATTGCTAGATTCAGCCTGTCCATTAGATTCTGGGTACCTGGGTGTCGATGTTTCCAATTTGATATTGTAACTCTCGCAAAAACGTCTGGTTTTAGCACTTATGAATCGAGATCCGTTGTCACAAACGATTTCTGACGGGACGCCGAACCTGCAAAGTATGTTTCTCTTGATAAACGAAATTACTTGGTCATCTCGAATTTGACGGAATGGCTCAGCCTCCACCCATTTTGAAAAATAATCTGTCATTGCCAGCATATATACTTTCTGCCTCGGTGCCTCTGGCAATTTTCCTACGATGTCCATACCCCATTTCATAAAGGGCCATGGTGATAAGACTCGATGAAGCGACTCAGAAGGTTGATGACGGATTGGTCCGTGTAGTTGACAAGGCTTGCATCTTTGAGTGAAAATGTTGCGTCTTCTCTCATGGTCGGCCAGTAATATCCAAATCTAAGAGCCTTGTTAGACAGACTTCGCCCGGCTGCGTGGTTGCCACATTCCCCTTCATGAAGGTTTTTTAGCACTTTGATGGCTTCTTGAGGTGTCAGACATCTTTGATACGGGCCTGCGACAGATCTTTTAAATAGAATACCGTCAATTAGTAGAAATTTGCTCACCTTAGATAGGAAAG